CGAGTCTTCCCCCCTAATAAATGTGTATAAACTAACTATATCCTCGCCATCTTTGTTTTGGGGACCAGAACTTGTATGTGACAAAAGGGGGGAAAAAACAAAACAAACCAACAACACCTCCATCCACCTGGTGGTGGTTATTCCTCTGAAATGGGAATTGTGGCCGGGGTCTCTTGAATTCTGACTTAGGCCCTCCTTAGGTAGGGACAGTCCCATCTTTTGAAAGGGGGAGTGGGGGCAGGAAGAGGGTTGCTTTAACCCAGTCCTACGGCCTGCTGAGGTTGTCCTGGGAATTCTCTTCTGCTAACCACTCTCCCCAGCAAAAACCATCCGGATTGGAGTTTTCTACCTATTACCTGTTGAAGTAACCTAAATTGACCTCGCCGCGCATGTATTTGCTCAGATCAGTGAAGAGGCTCGTAGCATAGGGAGGGTGGGTGGGTGGGGGAGCGAGGGAGAGAGCCAGCCAGCGAGCGAGCGAGCACCTAAAGGGTATTACTGCGCACCTTTCATAACCCTGTTCCATTCAACTCGATATGAGGGTGCCTGATTCCCCCCTCTTTCCTTCCTCCGAAGGGCTGCTCCCTTCACCTCCCCGTCACCTCGCCGCGAACCCCGCGATTTCCCCTTGTCACTTTCTGCCTAGCCTGCCTCGGAGGGTTGGATTGATGAACCCAGATCGCGTGTGAGAGAGCTTCACCACCGGGAGTTTGAGGAATTTGCCTGTGGTGTTAAGGGGAAGGGAACAAGTAAGAGAAACTGCGAGAGAGCTCTACCTATCGACGGATATAAGAGAAGTCAAGAGCGTTAGCCATAAGCAGCCATACCCACTCAGGCACTATGAAACGTCTTTGAGAGAGAGAGAGGGAGAGAGAGAAAGAGAGAGAGAGTGAGCGCGCATTAAAAAAAAAAACAACAACATCAGCAGCCACTAACCAGGACTTTGCGGAGTCCAGGGAGAGGGGAGGACGAGAGTCCTTAGCACTGATCTCATAGAATTACTTTTTTTTTTTTTTTTTTATAAAGAAAGGTTGACTTCCTTCTTTCCTTTCATGCGAGAGCTACCATGAGCTCCTACTTTGTAAATCCTCTTTTCTCCAAGTACAAAGGCGGCGAGTCCCTGGAACCAACTTACTACGACTGCAGATTTCCACAAACTGTGAGCAGAAGCCATGCGCTCGTCTACGGTCCGGGCACCACGGCTCCCAGCTTTCAACACCCTTCACACCACGTCCAGGAGTTCTTCCACCACGGAACCTCCAGTATCTCTAACTCTGGATACCAGCAAAATCCCTGCGCCCTGGCGTGCCACGGAGAGGCGTCTAAATTCTATGGATACGAAGCCCTACCAAGACAGTCGCTTTATGGTGCTCAGCAAGAGACGGCCGTGGTTCAATATCCTGACTGTAAATCCTCCTCCAACAGTAACTCTAGCGAGGGACAAGGGCATTTAAATCAAAATTCTTCTCCCAGTCTCATGTTCCCATGGATGAGACCGCACGGTTAGGATCTATTTTTTCCCCCCTCTCCTTCCTTCTTAACGTGGTTTTTTTTGCTTTTGTTTTGTTTTCCTTCCCTATTTAAGCAGAGAAAGAAAGGAAGAAAGGAAGGAAGGTGGGAGGGAGGGAGGGGGGAGTGTAATCTGTATTTTGAAGCGGCAGGGAAAGGCAGATAGAGGAACACAGAGGGGTCGGTTATAATCCTGTTGTTTTTTTTCCTTCCCGTTTGGGCAATGGCGGGGACGGCGTGGGGAGGGGGGAGGATGGCTGTTGTTTTCTCGTTTAAAAAGTAGAAGGGCTGCAGTTGTCTTTGAAAAGTCAGGAAGGTGATTTCTGGGTTTAAATCACAATAAAGTAAAACTTTCTTTTTATGGCTTGCCGGGAGGAGAGCAGTAAGAAACAGCTCCCACGAGGTTATTAGCATGTTCATAATACGCTGCTTTTTCTAAAATGTCATATTGCTTTGCTTAACCGCTTGGCGCCTTGGGCTAAAAGGTGAGCTTTACAAAAGAGAGAGAGAGAGAGAGAGAGAGAGAGAGATGGCTATTGAGAAGAGGTGGCTATTTTGAGTGGGGGCTGCAATTAAAAGTTAAAACCTTTGAAGGGCAACGTGGTTCAATTTAAAATTTCATTTATGGAGGATTTTTTAAAAAAGATTAATCTCTACTAATTATAATTCCTCTACATATTGTTAGGTGTAAAAACTACACCCAGATGCTCCACAGAATATTGGAATGGGGCAAGTCTCGCCTTTTCTGGAGTGTTATTTAGAAGGCCCTTTAATTTAAAACACGTGGAGTCTTGATTGTTTTAAAGAGGGAAATGAAAGGACAGTTTCAGTCAAAACGTTCTTGCTTTTTAAAACCCACTTGTTTTGTTAAGGTTACTAGAATGGGGCCCAGAAAGGCTTAAGGATCAAACCTATAGGGTGGAATACCAAAGTTATTGTTGTGATGGAGGGTTTTGACTTCGAAGCAAATCTCTAGTGGGGCACTTAGAAGAACGGGTAAATACATCCTAGCATGTGTGGCATTTGATACCATAGATTATGGAGAGCCAATACGGATAGAGCCGAGTATTTGGACTGTAATCTATAGTCCTTGGGTTGCATTTTCAACGCCTCGGTTGCCACAGCCATGCATATGGATGTATCAGGAAGACACTCCCACAGACAAGCAAGAAGCAGGAAAACAAAACAAAAAAGGAAGCGGGAGCGAAAACGCCTATCCTGAGGGTTTCCACCAGCCAAGATGGAGAAAGGAAGAGGCTGCATTGTGTGCTAGAAAGTCAGAAAACTCCTGGTTTGCCACTGCTGAGGATGGAAGGGAGTAGAAGAAACAAGCTTGCCCACGGTCCTTCCGGGTCCGGAGTCTGGCTAGGAAGTTGGCTTTAATTTGAAGCCAGGGTTGGCTGTGTGCAGGTAGGAAGGGGAGCAGGGGCAGGAGGAGTTTGCAGAGAAGAGAAGGGGTGAGGGAAGGAAGGAAGGAAGAGAGGGAGGGAACGAGGGAGGAAGGAAGGAAGGAAGGAAGGAAGGAGCTTCTTGCAGGAGAGAAAAAAACAGAAAGGAAAATTAAAAAGGAACAGAAGGAAGAGTCTAACACATATTTGTTGTTCTTTACTT